GCCACCTTCCCCAGCACTGGGCCTGCACTGGGCACCAACCTTGAGGAACCCCACTACCAGAGGGAGGTGGCTGGCTTCCTCAGTGCCAGTACCTGGTGCAGGCTCTGTATGCTTAGCAAATAATTCAAGATGCTGGACTCTATGTAGAAGAATGTGGCATCAGAATTGGAGGAAGACCCATCAACAGCCTGTTAATACAGATGATAAAACATGACTTGCTGAAAGTGAAGAGGATTTGAAACACTTGCAGGAGATCAAAGACTATAGCCTTCAATATGGATTACACCTCAACATCAGGAAAGAAAAAAAAATCCTTACCACTGGACCAATAGGCAACATCATGATAGATGGAAAAAAGATTGACATTGTCAACAATTTCTTTTTCTTGCATCTATAATCAACACCCTTGGCACCAGGAGTCAAAAGACATTGGGTAAATCTGCTGTTAAGGACCTCTCCAAGGTGTTAAAGAGCAATGATGTCACTTTAAAGACTAATGTACACCAGATTTCAAGCCATGATCTTTTCAATTACTTGTTATACATCTGAAAGTTGGACTATGACTAAGAATGAAAGAAGAATCAGGTGTGGTATTGGAGAAGAATACTGAATATCCCTCTGATTACCAAAAGAAGAAACACATATCTTGGAGAAAATGCAACGAGGGCTCTCCTTGAAGCAAGGATGGTAAAACTTCATCTCATATATTTTGGTTGTTAGGAGGGGTTGGTCCTTGGAAAAGGACGTCATGCTTAGAAAGGTGGAGGATTAGCCAAAGAAAGGAAAACTTTCAACAAAATGGATTGACACTGTAACAGTGGGCTCAAGTATATCAGATGATGAGTATGGCCCAGAATCAGGCAAGATTCAGATCAATGTATCATAGTCCACAGGACCACAACCGGCAACAACAGTGTATCTGTTTATCCATAGCTCTGGTGGCCTAATGGTAAAGAGAGTCACTGACAGACCAAAGGCACCCCTACATGCTCTATGGGAGAGAGATAGGCAGTCTATTCCTGTGTAATTTACAACCTCTGGAAACTCATTGCAAGGTCAGCTATGAATCATTTCTGACTGGAGGACACAACAGCAGCAACATTATAAACAAACAAACAAACTTGCTGCTGTGGTTTGTTGTGTGTGACAAAGTTGTTCCCAAATCAGCAACCCTATTTGATGAGTTGAACTGCTTTGCATGCTTTCCTAGCCTAAAATCTTTGGGAAGGCACCTTAGTGGCACATTAGTTGTGCGCTCAACTGCTGACCATAATGTCTGTGGTTTAAACTCTCCAGATGCTCCATGGGAGAAAGATCTAAAGAATATAGCCTAGGAGACACTATGGGGCAGTTTTGGAAGGTCAACTTTTCCCTCAAGGAGGGCCTGGGGTATCCAGACTGCCACATTTCAGTAGTGAAGCACTTAAGCACAGTTCAAACCAACAGAATGAGAGAAAGAATTCATTAAACAGTTCGCTATTGTTGTTGTTATGTGCCCTTGAGTCAAGTATGACTCATAGTGACCCTGTGAACAACAGATCTGAACCCTGTCCTTCCTGTGCCATTGTAGCAGTCACTGTGTCAATCCATATTACTGAGAGTCTTTCTCTTTCATAACACTACACCTTTCTAAGCATTGCTAGTGATTCATTAATGAATTAAATCTCTCTGTTTAAAAATCATTGTCTATATGATCAGAAAGGAATGCTCTGATGGTGTATTGACAGTAGGGAATTGCACTGCCAGTCCAAAGGCATGCAGTTCAACTCCACCAGTTGTTCTGTGGGAGTTAGATGGGCCGTCTTCCCTATGCAATTTGCTGCATCTGAAATCCCATTGGAGGGTCAACTGTGGGACTATTACAACTTCACAGTACACAACAGCATATAAAAAAAAAATAAGGTACCATATAAATAGTCAGATCCGACTCAGTGGAACACAACAACAACCATATAAATAGAAGGGAGTAGAACTTACCTGCTATCAGTCTTGTCAAATTTCATTCAAAATCATTTGAGTACAGAATATAGTTAGATCTATGTTCTTCTTGTTGGGTACTGTCAAGTCAGAACCAACCCAAAGCTGACCCTCCTTTGGGTTTTCAGAGGCAGTTAATTGCATCAGGAGAGATTGCCCATCCTTCACCTGCAGAGCTGCTGGTGCATTCAAATGGCATGTCTTTGAGTTTACAGCACAGTTTCTTACCAATTGGCCACCAAAGCTCATGGAAGATTATTTCTCTTTATTAATTTATATAAGATATTATCTGTTTTACTTTTCCTCCTCTAATAATGCTGTTATTGTTATATGCCGTCGAGTCACTTATGACTCATAGCAACGCTATGCACAACAGCTCTGAACCCTGATCTATCCTGAGCCAACATTATTGTCTCTGACACACATACCCCCATTATCTGAGTCAAATCCATCTCATCAAGGGTCTTCCTCTCTTGCACAGTCCTTCCATCTTTCCAAGCTTGATGTCCCTCTCCAAGGTCTGGTCCCTCCTTGAAATATGCCTAGAGTATATCAGATGGAGCTTCATAATGCTTGCCTCAAAGGAGCAGCCCAATTTCAGTATGAACTTGTTTGTTCTGCTAGCCGTCCATGGTATTTTCAGTACTCTTTTCCAGCACCCACAGCTCAAAGGCATTAATTCTCCTTCTGTTATCCCTAGTCATTGTCCAGCTTTCTGATGCATAACAAGTAATTGTGAAGACCATGGCCGGATCAGGTGCATCTTACTGACATTGTTGCTCTTTAGTACAGAGAACTGCCAGATGTGAAGTCTGGGTTTAGAAGAGGCTGTGAGGGGAGCTCTGGTGGCCTAGTGGCAAGGAGCTGCAACTACAATCCCAGAGGCACACGGTTTGAATCCACCAGATGCTCTGCCGGGAAAAGGAGGGAAAATCTCCTCCTGTACCAGTCAGATCTGATTTGACGGTACACTCACACAAAAATAATAAAATAAAAAAAAAAAACAAAAAGAAGAGGCTGTGGTACTCGCTATATCATAACTAATGTTAGATGGATCTTGGCTAAAAGCAGAGAGTATCAGAGAAATATCTGTGACTGTGTGGATCACAACAAACTGGCTAACTGAGAAGAATAGGAATCCCGGAACACTTGTGCTTATGCGAAATTTACCGTTGGACCAGAAGGCAGTCATCAAAACAAAGCAAAGAAATGCTGCATGTTTCAAAATCGGGAAGAATGTACACCAGGGATGCGTCCTATCTCCATATCTTTTCAATCTATGTGGAACATCATAAGGGATGCTGGGCTCTATGAGGAGAAATGTGGTATCAGGATTGGAGGAAGACTCATCAACAGCCTACATTATGCAGATGATACAATCTTGCTTTCCAAAACTGAAGAAGGCCTGAGGCATTTTCTACAGAAGGTCAAGGACTGCAGCCTTCAATAAGGATTGAAGCTCATTGTCAAGAAAACAGAGATTCTCACCGCTGGGCCCATTAGTAGTATCCTGATAGATGTGAAGAGACTGAGATTGTTAACAGCTTCAGTTTTCTTGGCTCCACAATTGACACTTGTGATACTATCAGCCAGGAAATCAAAAGGTGAATTTCATTGGACAACTCTGCTGTCAGGGACCTCTCTAGAGGACTGAAGAGCAATGATGTCAGTCTCCTCTAATATAGGGCTAATAAAAACACGTAAAGAGGTGCATCCAAGTTTTGTCTTTTAAGTAACAAAATTCTAGTGTCTTATGGTAAGAATTTTAGTTTTGAATTGTGGTAAAATCCTGCAACTAATATGCTGGCTTTACATTATGATTCTTAATTAGGTAATATAATATTTAAGCAGAATTTTCCCCCTACGGTTTTTAAAAATAAAAATTTACTGTTGTTATTATTATTTATTTATTATGTTATTTATCATTATAATAAAAGACTCTAGTGGTAAATGAAAATTTTTAAGATACTTGCGTGTCATTTAGCTACTAAAACTATAACTAAGGCTAATAAAGTCTAGTTTGTGGTTTATTAACCATAGGAAAGGAGTCTCCATGGCACAGTGGGTCAAGTGCTCAGCAGCCAACAAAAAAGTCAGTGTTTCAAAACCAGCAGCTGCTCCACAAAAGATAGATGATAGATGTGACAGTGTGATAGTCTAAAAGATAATAGCCCTGGGAACTTTCTTGTGAAGTTCTTGACTGTCTGCTGTGGAGCTGATTCCACTTCATAGCAACCCTATACAACAAAGTACAGCTGTCCATAGATTGTCCTAGGCTGTAATAACTAGGAATACAGATGATAGTAAGTTTAAGATGTTTGAATCCAGCATGAATCTCATACAGATGTGTTAAATCATTCATTATTATTTCTTTATATAAACTCCCAACCTCCTCAGACTTAGAGAATATTGCTGTGCGGTATAGTGGAAACAACTTGTGTGAGCTACTGCTCACATAAGCTAGTGTAGGACTTCAGATATAATATTTTAAAATTCATGTGCTTTCCAGATGTCTATGACCTTTTGAAAGTGTTTTATTTTCCCCCTTTACTTAATTTTAAGACCTCTTAGATTAACTGAGTGAGCTATAGGAAATATGAAGTAAAATAGTTGATTGGAATAATAGTTTCTAGAAACTCAGTTGCCAAGTTGGCATATGCTGTAGTTAAGAAATTGCACATGAATCACAATGTTGTGTTAATAAAAAGTTATAAGGAATATAGGTTTCAGATTGAAGGATAATTGGAGAATAGAAGATCCTATGTCACACAGACTATGATAAATATAATTTTAGCATTTGTTTGATTCAGGAGTTCATGAATATATAGAGAAGCTAATTAAAAATATTTCACATAATATTTTTTGTTTTGTTAGATATTTTTTACTATTTTCTCCTATTTGCTAGTCTCATGATATTCTGTTCTCACATAGCTCAGTTTACTAAAGCTGTTAGCAATCTGATATACTTAAGGATACACAGTATTGATTGATTTTAATCTGTCTCTTTTAGGTAAGTCATCACCATGTAGTGGATTTTGTCTGATTCTATAGATCACGTTGCCTTATTTTGGATATTATGGTAACAATACAGGAAGTATGTGTACTTTTCATTTCTGCAAGTAGTCAAGTGATACTGCTGAAGAAAGAAATTCTCAAGAAAGGAAACAATTACACAGCTACCTTGGTACCTTTTATGGAAATTTGGATTTTGTTTTTAAGTTTTGGTAACCATTTTCTAAAAAGGAACAAGTAAAGAACTTATCTCATTAAGCAAATAGACATTAATAAGAATGCCTCGGAGAGGATTGATTCTTCAGACCCGAACCCATTGGTTGCTGTTGGGTCTGGCTTTGCTCTGCAGTTTGGTATTATTTATGTACCTTCTGGAATGTGCCCCCCAGACTGATGGAAATGCATCTCTTCCAGGTGTCAATGGGGAGAATTTTGGTAAAGAGTATTATCAAGCCCTCCTGCAGGAACAAGAAGAACATTATCAAACAAGGGCAACCAGTCTGAAACGCCAGATTGCCCAGTTGAAACAGGAATTACAGGAAATGAGTGAGAGGATGAGATCATTGCAAGAGAGAAAGAATGGAGGAATGAATGGCTTAGGCTACCAAGGCAACAAAGAACAAACATCTAGTGATCTCTTAGAGTTTCTTCATTCCCAAATTGACAAAGCTGAGGTTAGCACAGGAGCCAAACTTCCAAGTGAATATGGGGTCATTCCCTTTGAAAGTTTTACCTTAATGAAAGTATTTCAGTTGGAAATGGGCCTCACTCGCCATCCGGAGGAAAAGCCGGTTAGAAAAGACAAACGAGATGAATTGGTAGAGGTTATTGAAGCTGGGTTGGAGGTCATTAATAATCCTAATGAAGATGATGAACAGGAAGATGAGGATAGTCCCCTTGAAGAGAAGCTGATATTTAATGAAAATGACTTCGTAGAAGGTAACGTAAGATATTTCTTAGTTTCTGGTTCTCCTATTGTGATATAATGCTATATTGTATGAGAAATATGCCAGTTATTATCCATAATCTAAAACATTTACATTTTTACTGTGTCAGTAATTTGAAAGACACTGGCTGCTGACTGAAAAGTCCTGGTTCAGACTCACCAACAAGCTCTCTATGGGAGAGAGATGTAGCCATCTGCTGTGTAGGTTGCAACAGTAAGGGACAATCCCACACTGTCCTGTAGGGTCACTGTGAGTATATGTGGCCTTCTGCTCCTGTGCAGTTTGCAGCTCTGAAGATCTAGGGAACAATACCCCACTGCCCTGTAGGTCACTGTGTTTGGATTTGGCTGCCTACTTCTGTGCATTTTGCAGCACCAGAAACCCAAGGGCACAATCCCACACGGTCCTGTAGGTAGAGCCACTGTGTTTAGATGTGGTTGTCTGCTCCTGTGGTTTGAAGCACTTAGAAACGCTAAGGAACAATCCCCACACTGTGTTGGCAGAAAGGATTTGGTTTTTGGTTTAATTTTGTATCTTTATGATCACTGAGATTGAATTAGACTCTTGGGGGCTATAAAATATGTACTTAATGCTCCCCTCATCATCTTGATGGTCTGTTTCTTATGTTCTTAAAAACTTATAAACTAGGGCTCAAAAATTGAAAACCAGTTAAAAAGTTGTTACTGGAAAGAAAAATCTAAATAAATAGTGGCTATTCTTCATCTTGGAAGAAGTCATACATAAATTTGAACAGCATACCGTGCTTTCTCCTCAATGAGATGGATCAGTTAGTGATTGGGATAATGGGAATAGGTGTTTCAGAGACAGTGAGGTTGGCACAGGATAGAGCAGGGGTTTAGGGCTCTTATACATAGGGTCACTGTGATTTGCAAGTGACTCAGTGGCACGTAAAAACAACATCCATGTTTTCCCACATCTAATGTGCTATGCAATAAATATGCATAACCCTTCTAATGCTTTAGAGTGATGCATAGTTTGCAAAGAGCTGTATAATGTGCACATTGTTGTGTCAGAACTGACCTAAAGCTGACCCTCTGGCAGGTTTTCAGAGGCCGTTAATCTCAAGGGAGGGGATGGGGATTGCCCATCCATCTCCATTATTTGCATAAAAATAGGTAGTAGGAAATACCATTATATCCAGTGTAAATATAGGAAGTACATTGTCCCGTGTTAAGATAGAGTTTAAAATCAAAGATAACTAGAGATACTCACCCATCTTCATCTTAACATTCCATGCTAGATATTCATTGCAGACTTAAAACCATTTTGAGTATGTCTTTTTAAAAATTACCTTTGCCTGACACTATAAAAAGTACATTTGATTTTTCTTGGCCTTGAGTCCTCATGAATGCCACTTACTATACATATGTTTAGGTCTTTGAGGTCATCTGGAAGGACATTGTATTTTCCTGTGGCATTCCAACTCTCTTGTCCTTTGGCCATCTCTTTTTCTCTGATGTCACATTCTGCCATTTTTGATTAGTTGTTTCTCTAGAAACTTTTAATATTTCTTTAGGCTTAGTTTTTAACCTTTGACTGTGTAGTTTATGGCACAATTGATTGCTTCAGAGGAATTAAGATAACTAAATCTCATACATATGTGTTAAAGCATTCATCATTTCTTTATATAAACTCCCAACCTTCTCAGACTTAGTGAATGTTGCTGTGCAGTATAGTGGAAACAACTGTGTGATCTACTGCTCACGTAATTTAGGTCTTCCAGTTACCTCTGTACAGCAATGCACAGACCAGTGCTATACCACTTTGAGATATAATAATCATATATAATATAGCATATATGATATGGTAATATGTATACACAACAATGATAACAATGATAATGATATAGTGTATTATTTTCATAGTAGTACTGCATTTAATATCGTCATTGTATTATTACTGTTTATTTTTTTGTCTCTCTCATTTGGCTGACCCTGCTTCAAAACCAGGACTACATTTATAGTTATATATATATATATCATCCATGATTAGCACGACACTTGATTTTTTCATTGAATTGAACCAAGTATTAAGCATTTTGATTCTTAAATCTGTAATTTAATATTGCTAGAAAGAATTTCTTTACAGTTGTGAAATACTTTGTGTTAATAGTTTTATTATGAGAAAAGCCACTGCCGTCCACACATAATAATCCTCCATTGGGTCTCTGAGGCTGTAGCCTTAATAAGAGGAGATTTCCCATCCCTTTTCTCATTGTGGTTGATGACTTCAAGCTGCCAGCATTTTGGTTAATACATTAAACATTAAACCACTACGGCTCCTTACATCATATGCAAAAAGGAATTTTCAGTGTAGACGAAATTTGTATACAAACCAATGTAAAATTAAATAAATAAAGCTTGAAAATGAAAAAAGTAAAACAAAAGGAACTCTCATTTGGAGCATTTTTGAGAGACTATATCTGTATTTTTAAAAGGGACCTTGCTGGCATTGTGCTTTCCATGTTGTACCACTAGCCTAAAGGTTAACGGTTTGAATCCACCAGCTGCTTCCTGGGAGAACGATGGAACGTCTCCTCTCATTAGATTTATAGCCTGGAAATCCAATGGAGAGTTACCAGGAGTCAAAATTGACTTGATGTCATTGTGCTTGTTTTTGTTTCATTTTGTTTTGTTTTAAAGAAGTAGTTGTAACAGGCTGTATAGGGGTGATACCTGTTTTTACAAGAAGATAAAAAACAATCCTACAGATTTTGTTTTGTTTTGTTTGTAACTAAGTAAAATCAGTATTCCCATTGAATTGATTCATTCTCACATGAAAACGTTCTTGTCCCTAACTTTGCTTTTAGGTTACTATCGCACCGAGAGAGAGAAGGGCACACAGTATGAACTCTTTTTTAAGAAAGCAGACCTGATGGAATATAAACACGTGACCCTCTTCCGCCCTTTTGGACCTCTCATGAAAGTAAAGACTGAGGTGATCGACATTACTAGATCCATTATTAATATTATTGTGCCACTTGCTGAAAGAACTGAGACATTTGCACAGTTTATGCAGAACTTCAGGTAATGCTCAGGGCTTAATGATTTGGTTAAACCCTGCCAACTCACATTATATGCAGCTTTCCTTATCTTTACTTTTAATTATGGAATAATTTTATAGACATTAAAGAGATTATTTTTTATGTGATCTTTTATCCTAAAGCATGTGTAGTTTATTTTGTTGACAGTTTGAACTAGGAAGTAAATGCAGGGTACGTGCTATTTATTTTTTATTATTTTATTTTTTATTTTTACTAAATTTGGTAGCCTTTATTATTATGTGTGAATTCATTTTAAGATAAACAAGACTAAAAAATTAACTTTATAGAGGCATCAATTACATATAATAAAATGCACCTATTTTTAGACCTACAGATCCTATGACTTTACATAAATGTTGGTACTCATGTAATCATTGTTCCAGTCAAGATATAGAACATTTTTATATTCCAGGAAATTCTCCATAGAACAAGTTGAATTTTAAAATGAAAAGAAATTTTAGAAATAAAAATTTTCAACTGAAAATGAGGAAAAGTTAACATTTTTTTGAGATGACTTCCTTTTTGTCTCTAAATTTAGATCTTTTAAAACATGCAAGTGTTAATAAGATTAACTATCAGAAATGATTCCTTTTTTATTTTAACAATTGTAATGTTTTAAATACAAGCTAGATAAAATTTGATTTGTAGGTATTCTAGATTAATGTGCTAATTTTAATTCTTTATAACTCTAGTCTTTATTTTCATAACAACATTGTTGGATTTAAAAGGTAATATTACTTCTTAGCAAAGTGTAAAAAAAGTCATGCTTCTAAATGAGATTTATCTATTTGAATTGGCTTGAAAGGTGATTTGGTAAAGCATTTTTTTCTTTCTTGGAATTGCTTTCAAAGGCTGTATTATTCTTTTCTTTTTGGCTGTATCATTCTTAACACTAAATCGTCTCAGACATGACAAATCTTTATTCTTTGATGAAAGATACACTTCCCAGAGTTTGTCAGCCTAAGAACAAAGTAATTTTTGACCTAAAACTTGATTATTTACTTATTTATTTGATTCAGAACCGATTTAATTTAATAAGCTGGGTAGCTTGTAACTTACTTCTAAAGGCAATACCAAAGCCTAAGTTCTAAAAATGTCTTGAAGCATAGGAGTATTGTTGGTATGTTTCTGTGCTGCATCAAGGACAGCACTCATGATATAATACCTTTTTTTGCCCTACACTTCCTTTTGTATCAAGACTATGTGATGATTTTGTAAGTTGCTTACTAGTTTTCTGGTTAATGCTACATCTAATGCTTTCTGAATTAGTGGTACCTCACATATTTTCTTGAACTTTATTCTTCAATTCTGTTAGGGATGTATGTATTCAACAAGACAAGAGGATTCACCTCACAGTGGTATATTTTGGTAAAGAAGGACTGTCTGAAGTCAAGTCTATCCTAGAATCTGTCTCAAGGTTGGTAAGCCATATCTACACTTAATTCCTTGATACATATAAATTAGAAGAATGAGAATATCAGTATTCAATGGATTAATAATTTTTAATAGCTCCGGTTAGAAGTTGACTAAGCACATGTGTGATGATCATAAATTCCCGAATTAGTCTGCACCCTGAATGACTGACTATCTTCCTTTAAACTCTTTGTAGATAGCCTGGCATGAGGAGATACTCTCACTCAGTGGTCAACTCAGCTTTAATATTTATATTTTTTTTTTATTTTTATTTTCTTCCAGTAAACTTGCCCTTTTTCTAAATTTAATCCCTTTGATGCCATCTGTTAAGCCTATTTCTTGTCACATGTCTTTTTAATTTCTATTTTCCCCAGTTATTCTGTGTTATCCAGCATGTGATGTTTAGATGTACCATATATTTAAGAATCTCATCTGACTTTGCAGTAGCCAGCAATATTATTACATTTATTTCATAGCTAAAATTCATAAGATAGCTGTTCTGTAACCAAGCAATTTATATAGTACCTGATTCCTAGTAGATAAGTAGATGTTTAAATGGATGAATAAATTAGTAATTCCTTAGTACTTAATAATTCTGTAGCTTTTTAGGTTTTCTTGTTTTATGTACTATGGATCCAAAGTTATGACTGAGCTATTGAATTCAGCCTGTTCTCTTTCATACTTTTTTTCTTTTTTGCATTTCACTTTAAATAAGTACTTCCTTAAAACGTTCAGATTTTTATAAAGTATCAATACTTAGTAAAAGCAAGAACGTTACAATATAGCTCCTGAGTTTTTCTGACTACCTCAACCACAGCCTTCAGTTTTTCTTTACCTGTCTTGTTTGGCAATTCCTTTAGAGACCTTACTCTCAGAAGCTGCTCTTAAATCATCAAACACACATTCATTGAGCCCTGCCTACCATGTTCCAGGTACACTTCTCTGGAGTTCAGTTGGGGAAATTGGAAAAAAACCTAGGACTCTCAAAACACTGATGTGTATATATAAGCATAACTCATTGTCTTCTCCTTCTTCACCTAAGCATCTCCTGATAACGCTCTTTCAGGTCAGAGTGTCATGAATTCTTTGAGGATTTGAGGTCTTGTACTCACTCTTTACCATTCCTGACAGTCAGTTCCTACCTATTTTGTAGGACCTCTTCTCTGTTTCTTTTTGGCTGCTGCCACAATCTTAATGCATAGTCTCACCTCCTACCATTTCTTCTTTTACTCCTCCTCTTTTCGTTACCACTTTTAGGTCACTTACTAAGTGCCACGTTATTACCTTGATTTTTATGGAATTCATCCTTGTACTGGCCGAAACTCCTCTGTGGCCAAAAGTGTACACCTGCCTTAACCTTGCTTAAGGAAAATAGGAACATTCGCTTCCAAAGCTAAAGATATTATTGCAATCGATTTTTGGAAGAATACCCAAAGAGGTTTGACATCTCCCAGACTAGATACAGGCTTGAATACCATCGGAATTCTTGTCAGTTTCTTATCTGTTAATTTTCTGCTTGTTGATCTTACCCTAATACTGCAGATTGGCATCCTTCACATGGTGAGGGATGTGACTTTTTTTTTTTTTGAGGGATTTGACTTTTGACAACTCTGGACTTAGAGTTTCTTAATTTTTCCATAAGAGAGGAAAGAGTTTTCTCTCACCTCTGTTGTTGCTGTTGTGTGTATCGAGTTGCTTGCAACTCATAGCAACTCTGTGTATAGTAGCTCTGAACCTTGATCTGTCCTGTGCCCACATTACCCCAGTCACTGAGTCAACCCATCTCATCAAGGATCTTCCTCTCTTGCACTGTCCCTCCACCCTCCCAACCATGATGTGCCCAAAGTATGTAAGATGAAACTTCAGAATTCTTGCCTCCAAGGATGAGCCTGGTTTTACCCTTTCTAGGAAGAACTTGTTTGTTCTCTTAGCATTCCATGATATATTCAGTATTCTTCTCCAGCACCTTAGCCCAAAGGCATCAATTCTTCTATCATCTCTAGTCATTTTCCCAGCTTTCTGAAAAATCCCAGGAAAGGGCCTACCCTGGAGCCACTCACTTTGGACAGGAAGGGTGAGGATATTGGCTTGAGTCTGGTTCCTGCTCTTAGGAAATGACCATGATTGGGATGGGTGTAAAGTGAGGAATAATCTTGATGCTGGGAATGTGATGATGGGTGTGTTTGTGTGTGGGGGGCGGGGAGAGAGATAGAAAGAATAGCAAACCAGAGTACAACTTTGGGTCTGTCCCACCAGAATTTAAAAATCATCTCAAGAATGGTTTGGAGATACTGACCACTAATTGTTGAAGATTAGATGAGTTGTGGGATGGCATCAACAATATCACTAATGAAGAGAGCAGAGATTGTTACAAAAACAGAGGAGAAAGAAAAGTTCAAACAGACATCAAAAGAGACTAGTAATTGCACGAGAGCATTGGGAAGCTGAAATAAGGGGTGCAAATGAAAATGCATGAGAGCATCAGGATGCTGAAGACAGAGAGTCAGAAGACTTCAAAGGGCAGCTCAAAAAGGCAACGCAAAGTATTATAATGCAGTGTGAAAACAGCTAGAGTTGGGAAAAAAAGAGGAAGAACTGGCATTTCTCAAGCTGAAAGACTGAAAAACAAATTCAAGCCCTCAGTTGCAATACTAAGAGACACTATGGGAAAAATCTTGAATGATCCAGAAAGCATCAAAGAAGATGGAAAGAATAGTCACTGTAAAAAAAAAAAAAAAAGATTGACAAAAAAAAAATTGACTAAAAAAGAATTGATCAACGCCGAAAAAATTCACGAAGTAGCTTATGATAAAGAGCCGTGATGATAAGAGAAAAAGTTGAAGCTGCATTTGAACATTTCCTGGCACAGGCTAGTGAGGCAGTTTGGAAGACAGCTACCAGGTCAGTGTATTGGCAAAAAAATGCACATTTGTTCCCATTCCCAAGAAAGGTGATACAACAGAATGTGGAAATTATCAAGCAATATCATTAATACTGATGCAAGCAAAACATTACTGAAAATCATCCCAAAACAGCTAGTACAGTATAATGGCAGACAACTGCCAGAGTTCAGGCTGGGTTTAAAAGAGGCTGTGGCAGTAAGGATATCATTGCTGATGTCATATGATCCCAGCTGAATGCAGAGAATACTAGAACTATAGCTGTTTATGTTTTATTGATTATTCAAAGGCATTTGACTGTTGTAGATCATAACTATAGTGAACACTGAGAAAAATGGGAATTCCAAAACACTTAAACTAAGCCTATACCTGGACCAAGAAGCTGTTATCTGAACAGATGGAGTACTGCATAGCTTAAAATTAAGAAATGTAAATATCAGGGTTGTATCTTTTCTCCATACCTATTCAGTCTGTATACTGACCACATAATTCGAGAAGCTGTGGTTTATTAAGAAGAGAGTGGCATCAGAATTGGAGAGGACCAGTATTAATGCAGATGACAGTCTTGCTTGCTGAAAGTGAAAAGGACTTGAAACTCTTATTGCAGAGGGTAAGTCTACATACAGCCTTCAATATAGATTACATCTCAATATCAAGAAAACAAAATTCCTCACCACTGGGTCAATGCACAGCATCATGATAGGTGGAGAAAAGATTGAAATTGTTGATTTCATCTTACTTGTATCCACAGTCAACACCCTTAGGACCAGCAATTAGGAAATCTGGAGTCTTACAGCATTGTGCAAGTCTGTTGTCAGGGACCTCTCCAAAGTCCTGAAGAGCAGTGATGTCAGTTTAAAGGAAAAGGCATGCCTGATTTAAGCCATGGTCTTTTTAATCACCTCCTGAGAAAATTAGTGCCTTTTGAGTTGTGGTATTGGAAAAGAGTATTGACTATCCCATAGACTGCCAAAAGAACAAACAGGTATGCCATGGAGAAAGTGCAGCCAGTGTGCTCCTTGGAGGCAAGGATGGCAGTGCTTCATCTCACGTATTAGGGGCATGTTGCTAGGAAAGGCTATGCCTTGGAAAGGGACATCATACTTGGAAAGGTAAAGGGTAAGCAAAAGAGACGAAGACCCTCAACAGGATGAATTAATACAGTGTTTGCAGCAATGGGCTTGAGTGTGTCCCTTAGGACAGATCTGTTGTTTATAGGGTCTCAGAGTCATAGTTGATGGCACTTAACGATAGTATCAACAAAAGAAGTGGGAGACAAGTTGTGTGCACTCAGAGTATTTGGTGTCTGCTCCATACACTATTTGAGCCTTTGCTCTGAGCTTCAAACTGGTTTGGCCTCTGAATGGACCTAAATTTTTTTAATGTGAGTAAACTGAGTGATAACTGGAATTGGGGAGAAAAATTACACAAGAATTAAATTGTGCTAGACTTACGCTTTATTAAAGTTCCTGCTGGAAATGTAATCCTCCTCTTAGAAAACAAGGGCAGCATGTGCCTTGCTTAGCAGCCAGCTCTCCTGATGGATATGATGGGAATCAGTGACGCCCAGCTTAAAGATGGTGACTGATAGCACTGTTTTAGATGTGCGTCACTCTCCATAGCCCTGGCAGTAATCCAGTGTCAGACATCGGTTCCTAAAAGTCTCCTATACCTCCTCAAAGTCACCCATTCCTAGGCTTCAAACTCTAATTTATCTGTTCCTCATCACTCAATTTTTAAACCTGTGGTTTATTCCAGTGGCACTTAGTCAGCCATTACTGGACTACTTTGAAACCTTGCTTTTTACTCTCCCTTTACCCTTTCAAATCTATTGTAAGGCTAGCCTTTTCTGTCCAGCTTTGTCCTGAGAGTCTCCACCCTGAGTAACCTGATACTCTGCTCACCCATCTCCCTTCAACATCAGTGGCTCTGGAGGATGGCCTGAATATTTGCATTTCTAACACATTCCCAGAAGATGACAATGATACTCATGCAAAGGCATTTTACTGTCTGGATCATGGCAAATTGTGGGTAACCTTCAGAAAAATGGGACCCCCAGAATGGTTAGTTGTGCTCATGAGAAACCTATACTTTGATCAGGAAGCAGAAGAACAGAGCAGGGAAACACTGCATGGTTCAGGATCAGAAAATGTGTGCATCAGGTATGTATCTTCATACATTTTCAATTTCTATGCAAAACAGATAATTCAGGAGGCTGGACTTTATGAGGAGGAATGTGGCATCAGGATTGGAGGAAGACTCATCAACCACCTGCATTATGCAGATGATATGACCTTGCTTTTTGAAACTGAGAAGGACATGAGGGATTTACTGTGGAAGGTCAAAGACTAGTCTTCAATATGGATTGAAGCTCAACATCAAGAAGACAAAGAGTCTCACCACTGGGCCAGTTGACAGCTTCGTGATAGGTGGGGAAGAGATTGAGATTGTTAACAACTTCAGCTTGCTTGATTCCATACTCAACACTCTTGGTACCAGCAGTCAAATTGTCAAATTGCATTGGAAAAGTCTGCTGTCAGGGAACCCTCTAGAGTACTGAAGAGCAATGATGTCAGTATGGAGACTATGTTGTGCCTGATCCTTTGCAGTTACTTGCTATGCATCAAAGAGCTGGACAGTAACTAAAGATGACAGAAGAAGGATTGATGCCTTTGAGTTGTGGTGCTGGAGAAGAGTTTTGCACATACCATGGACTGCAAGGAAAACAAGCAGATCTGTCCCAGAGAGGGTGAAACGAAGTTGCTCCCTGAAGGCAAGGATTTTTAAGCTCCAACTGACATACTTGGGGCATGTGGCCAGGAGGGATGAGTCCTTGGAGAGGGGCATCATGCTCAGAGGGGTAAAGGGACAGCACAAGAGAAGACCCTGGATGAGATGGATTGACTCAGTGACTGGAGAAATGGGATTAGGTTGGAGACAATGAGATTGGCTCAGAATAAATCAGAGTTCAGAGCTTAAGTACATAGAGTCACTATGAGTTACTTGAAACTCGATGGCACAAAGCAACAACAACCCTAGCAGAAAAACCTTAATGACACCTTTTTGCCTTTTAAGATATTGATCAAATTCTTGACCCTCTCATGGAAGGTGATTTCAGTTTGATCTCCTTTACAGTATTTCTACCTTTGCTTCATTCCTAGTCAGAATTATATGATCCCTTTCTCAAGGACACTTTTCTGCTTTCTCTTTGCCTTTTAGAATGGACCAACTTTTACACTCAACCACTAGATTCAAAACAGAACTCAAGTTCCACTTCTCCCATCTTGTCAGACTGAGTACTTCAAACAAAAATGATCTTTTTTTCTCTGCCTGTTACTCATTTATTCCGTAAATACTTAATCCATAAGGGGGTACTATATCAGAAGAAATGAAAAAAACAAAATTCCTGCTCTTGTGAAACTTAACATTCCCGTATAGGGAGACATTCAAACAAGGGTGTAATCTATCTGATAGGGAGAAAAATAAAGCTAAGTAAAGCCAGAGAGAATTAAAAATGAGTCTGATGCTGCATCACACATAACAGGGAGAATCCATCTCACTTGGAGGCATAAGTGTAGATTCTTCACTAACCAACTGGATGGCAGGGTTTTTTCTTATTTTCAGAGTAGATTTTTAAGATCTCAAGGGACAGTGCTCACTCCTTAACACTTTTAAACTCACAGTACCAGTAGCAGCGGGGGAGGAACAGAGAAAAGTTAACAATACTAGCATGTTAACCTCACATATGGACGGCTAGTGACTATCTGTCCCTGGATGTGATTATACATGTGAAGCTTGTGATTTCCTTTCCATATAATGAATGCAAAACCAACATAATAAAAGTAATTGAAGTGTGAAACCTATTTTGTAAATTGAAGGAAAGATATATTATGAAAATTGAAGTGGGACTTAATCATTTGTTGTATGTGCTTTCCTCATAGTGAGTCTAATTTTCATAATTACACCATTATCTCATTGAATGAAGAATTTAATCGTGGACGAGGACTAAATGTGGGTGCCCGAGCTTGGGACAAGGGAGAGGTCTTGATGTTTTTCTGTGATGTTGATATATATTTCTCAGCCGAATTCCTTAACAGCTGCCGGTTAAATGCTGAACCAGGTGCGTAAAACATTGGTAGATAAGCTGAGTTTAGAATTTAGAAAAGTTTCAGCTGTCCTATACTTTGAGTCAAACCGTTTTGCAGGAAAAGAAGTTTTCATTAAAACCTAGTTTTGTGTTTCCTTCTTACCCCTACATTATATTAATCTAACTGGGATATTAGATAGAAAATTAAAACTTGCCACATCATGTTCCTATTTCTTCTTCTCTTGGGACTAAGTTCTAATGGCTTTAACACCAAAGAGCAAAAAGTCTGAAAATTTTCAAGCAAGGTATTGTACAAGTCATTGGGTGAACTGACTAAATGGCTTAGAAATATGTGCAGGTCAAAAGTATCCAACTCTGGAATCAAAGTACAGAGACACATATGGAAGAAGGTAGAAACATGTGCTGCTTGATCAGGAATGCAAAATGGGGTAATTTACAATATTTTATTCTCTGTGGTAGATTTTTCTCAGTGTATAAGCAAATAGCCTTTTTAGAAATCAGATTTTATCTTACAGGTGAAAAGGAAGTTTTCTATATTAAAGAATCTCATAGTAATTTATTTTAGTAAATTATTTGTATCATGCAAATGATTACCTTTTTATGAGGCAGTTTTATTGGGAGATAGTTGCCCAGAATTCTGGAGAACCTACTAAGCTTACTTTTATCAAAATTCAGAATGTGAAAGTTGAAGAAGATAGAACATTTCTTCTACACTGAGCAAACACCTAACATTCAGAAATAAAATAGGCTTTCCTGTGAGGAACTGAATTCTCTGTCCCTTAAGTGGGTTTTAAGGAAAGTGAGCTGAGCATCTGTAGCAAGGAAGGTTGCTCAGCCCTTCCACAGTGCTTTCCAGTTTAGCAGATACTTTATATGAACACGTTTAATTGAGGCTAGTCATAAACAGGATTTCTTTGCAGAGTGGTAGGTGGAGGGTGAAGCTTTCAAACCCCTTTATGCTGTTACTTTGAATATTAACAGTAAGGGCTCCTGTAGGAGATGACTATTTGGGGAATTTTTAACCTTAACTCCCTTAGGATTCCATTTTCCCCAAAACCTTGTTTAAAAATTTGTCTGCAGTTCTGTGCTTTAATTATTTACTGCATATCTATTTATTGTATAAAATTCTTTGGTTTACTGTTTTTACAACTTTTTGAAGGGTGTATTTACCAGAAGTTTCTAGATTTCTTGGCAATTATGAGAGGCTAACAATTGATTAGGGGAGCTATGATGGTTAGTGGTAGGGAGTTGAGCTGTGAACCAAAGGGCATGTGTTTTGAATCTACTAGCTGCTCCACAGGAGAGACATTGGCAGTCTCCTCTTGTGAGATTTACTTCCTCTGAAAATCTGCTGGAGGTCAGCTATGATGTGATGGAACATAGCAACCACCATCATTTGTTAAAGAGCTCTGATTGCGTGGAGTGTTCCATGTTGAGCTGCTGAGAGGTGGGAAGTCTACCAGCCACTCTGCAAGAGAAAATGGGCAATCTCCTTCCATAGAAACTTACAGCCTCCAAAACCTAATGGAAGATTGCCATGAGATGGAATCTGTTCTGTGACACAAAAGGGAGCCATCCTTTACTGCTAATTAGATGAAATAAAGAGTAACAAATAGCTTACCTAATGAATAATTGAGAGTATGTCTTCATACATCAGTCCAAAATTAAAGGGCATGCTTTAATCTAATTAATTGCTGTTTGTTTTTTCAAAGGTACAGTTTTGTGAGTTGACCCACTAATAGGTCAAAGTCTTCAGCATATTTATCAAAGAAACGTATTTCTTGGTAACCTGAATGTTGATAGGTTATAAGTTTAAATTGTCATGGATCATAGGAAGAACTAGTAAATTCTTAATAATGTTTTCACTAAAGATCAGTCCTTCATTTTATAATTATTTTCATTTATAGGTAAGAAGGTGTTTTACCCAGTGGTGTTCAGTCTCTACAATCCTGCTATTGTTTATGCCAATCAGGATGGGCCACCACCTGTGGAACAGCAACTGGTAAGATTTGTACCTTTTGACTATGAAAAGTTAACAAAGTTTTTCCTAACTTCTCTTTCATTTGTTATATAAGTAGAAGAGAAAAAAATGCATTAATAAATGATCGTATGTCCATAGCTCTTCTTCCCTGTGAAATAATTTCATGATTACTATTTCAGAATTAAGTCTCCTTCTGGATTCTGAGGCACAAAGAGAGACTTCATATAATTGTATAGTTATTTTTAGTAATATTACAAATAAAATTTATTTTGAGTCCTAGTAAAAATAACTTGGGCTTAGTTTTAAAGACCTATTAACTGTACATTGAACTATTCTAATAAAAAGAATAAATTACATGGGAAATTACTTAAGAAATCATAGAATAGGAATGTCATGTGTTAAAACTTGTGGTTATTACCAAAGTCATGCTTATATAAGCTTTAAAAATAAGTAATTTAAAAAATAACAGCTTATATTAAAAAGTTGCAAAGATACCAAGAACTTAGTATTCACCCAATTTCCCCAAATGTTAACATCTTCCATAACCATTATGTTGTTATAGAAACATTATATTACGTACCGTTGAGTTAGAACTGACAAAAGCAATCTAGAAGTTCACTGCAGTCCTAATACAGATACTAATTCTGTTCTCCAGCGAGATAGAAAAGGCAATTTTCAATGAAACAATCTGAATGAAACAACAGCCCAAATAAACAGAGCACTACTGAAAAAGAAAAAGGGGGTAGGAGACATCACACTCCTGATCTCAAATCCCACTCTTCGTTGTTGTTGTTATGTGCCATTGAGTCAACTCCAATTCATAGCAACCCTATGTAAAACCCCTCTGAATCCTGTTCTTTCATGAGCCAATTTGATCATCTCTCACACCCCCATTAACACAATGAGCCAATCCATCTCATCTAAGGAATTCCTCTCTTGCGCTGTCCCTCCATCCTTTGAAACATAATGTCCCTTTCCAAAGACTGGTCCCTCCTGGCAACATGCCTAAAGTTTATCAGACAAAGCTTCAAAATCCTTGCCTCCAAGGAGTAAGCTGGTTTCACCCTCTCCAGGACAAACCTGTTTGTTTCTTAGCAGTCCAGGGTGTATACATCCCTGAGCACCACAACTCAAAGGCATTGATTCTTCTTTCATCATTAGTCATTGTCCAGCTCTCTGATACATAGCAAGTAATTGTGAAGACCATGACCTAGATCAAGTGCAACTTCATCTGCAGACTGACATCATTGCTCTTCAGTTCTCAGGAGAGGTCTCTGGCAGCAAATTTTCCCAATGCAATTCATCTTTTGATTTCCTGGCTACTAGTTCCAAGGATATTGAATGTGGAATCAAGCAAGCTGAAGCTATAAACAAACTCAATCTCTTCACCATCTATCATGGTCCATATTTATGCCCATTACAAAAAGAGGTAACCTGACAGTGTGTGGAAATTATATCAAACAATACTATTAATACATCGTGCAAGAAAGGTCCTGCTTTGAAAATTATCCAAAAACAACTGGAACAGTGCCAGATGTGCTGGCTGGGTTTAGAAGAGGCCATGACAGTAGGCACATTATAGCCAGTGTTAGATGGTTCTTAGCTGAAAGCAGAAAGTACCAGAGGAATGCTTATCTGTGTTTCATAGACTGTGCAAAGGCACTTGACTGTACAGATCACAACAAACTGTGGCTAACTCAGAGAAGAATAAGAATTTTATAACACTTGATTGTGCTTATCAAAACCTACACTTGGACCAGGAGGCAGTCATCAGAACAGAGCAAGGAAACACTGCAAGGCTCAAAATGGGGGAGGGTGTACATCAGTGATGTGTCTTATCTTCATACCTTTTCAATCTATATTCAGAGCAGATCATGTAGGTTGCTGGGCTCTATGAGAAGGAATGTGGCATCTGGATTGGAGGAAGAATCATCAACAATATGCATTATGCAGATGACACAACCTTGCTTGACAAAAACTGAGGAGGACCTGAGACATTTGCTGCAGAAGGTCAAGGACTGCAGCTTTAAATATGGGTTGAAACTCAACATCAAAAAAACATAGATTCTCACCACTGGGCCAATTGGTTTATCCTACTAGACAACCATAGTAATCAAGCCAGCCTGGTACTGATACAGTGAAAGACACATAGATAAATGAAATAGATTGGAGAATCCAGAAATCAACTCAGCTATGATCATTCAATCTTTGACAAGGAGATTAAATCAGTTTAGTGGGGAAATGACAGCTTCTTTACCTAAAGGTGCTGGAAAAATTTGGAAAACCATCTGATCTGCAGGAAACTCAAGCAAGATCCACCTCACACCATGCACAAAAACCAACGTGGATCAGGGAGCTAGGAGTAAAACCAAAGACTTTAACGTTTATCAGAGAAAAACAAAAGAAAAAAAAACCCTCTTGAATCCCTAGTTTACAGCCATGAACAGACTTCAAAGCATAATAATAATAATAATAATAATAATAAACAAAAAAACCCCACAACACACATAAAACTAGGAGAGGATGAAGTAGATTAGTTATTTTTGTTGTTGTTAGGTGCCATCGAGACTGACATCATTGGTTTAAACTCTGTCCTATACTGTGCCAACCTCACAATCTCTGACCCTTTCGAGTCCAGTCTTGCTACAGTCACTATATCTCCACCTGGTCAAGGGTATTCCTCTCTTTTGCCGTGCCCTCACCTTTCCAAGCATGATGGCCTTCCCCAAGGAATAGCCTCTCCTAAGAACAAGTCCACAACATATGAGATGAAACATCATCATCAGTCTTGCCTCCAAGTAGCATTCTGGCTATACCTTCTCTAAGACTTATCTGTTTGTTCTTTTGGCATTCCACGGGATATCCACTACTGTTCTCCAACAGTTCAAAGGCATCAACTCTTCTTCTCTCATCCTTATTCATTGTCCAGCTCTTTGCAGCATAGCAAGTAATTGAAAAGACCATGGCCTGAATCAGGTGCACCTTAGTCCTCAAACTACATCATTGCCCTCAGTAATTTAGAGAGATCCCTGACTATAGACTTTACAGTCAGTGTGTCTCTCTATCTCCTGAACAATGTAATGATAGACATTTTGTACAATGGTACCAAATATATTGATTGTGGATCGAATAAGATGAAGTCATTGACAGTTTCAATCTTTTCTCTATCTATTATGACTCATTGTGCTTACCAGTTCAGTGGCAAGTATTTTTCTTTCATTGGGATTGAGATGCAATCCATATTGAAGCCTGTATTCTTAAGATTCTGTTTTGTTTGATCTTCTGCATCAAGTGTTTCAGGTACTCCTCAAATTTAGCAAGCAGGGTTTTGTGTTATGTACCAACAATGAAAGCCAAAGGAAAAAAAAATTAAGATTTTTGTCAATTTTTTATCTGTAATTGAATTGCAAATAGGCAGTCACAATGTTTTAATGATAATTGGTGACTGGATGCAAAAGTTGGAAAATAAATGACTGGACCGTCTAAAAATCAAATCCCTGTGAACATATAAAAACTTCTCCAACCAGATAAAAAGGGAATCCAAAGACTGAGGGTAAAATTTGGCATTGACATATCTGATAAGGGACTGATTTCTAAAATTTATAAAGTACCTAAGCATCTCAACAAGAAAAAGGCAAACAACTAATCACAAAATGGACACAAGATATGAACAGAAACTTCACAAAATAAGATTCCTATAATTAACAAACAGATGAAGAAATGCCCAGATCCATAGCTATTAGAGAGATGCAAATCAAAACAACAGTGTGATATGATATCATCTCACCCCAGCAGCAGTAGCAAAGGTCAGCAGAGAAGTGAACAACAAATTTTGGTGATTATGTGCATAGTTTGGAACTCTCATTCCCTGCTGGTGGGAATATAAAATGACACAACCACTGTGGAAGGCCATCTGGTGCTTTCTCAAAAAGTTGGAAATACAATTACTATTTGACCCTACTATCCTACCACTCAGCAGCATAGCAAAGTGATTGAAAATACTATGGCCTGAATAATTCCTCAAACTGACATCACTGTTCCTCAATAATTTGGAGATGTCCCTGACTGCAGATATTCCCAGTGCAATATTTCTCTTGATCTTCTGACTACTGGTACCAAGTATATTGATTGTGAATCCAAGTAAGATGAAGTCATTGACCGTGGTCAGTCTCTTCTCAAATCAGTCATGATCTTTCCTGTCAGGCAGGTGGTGAAGTTTTTCGTTTTCTTGACATTGACATTTCGTTTTCTTGACATCTATAATGAAGGCTGTATTCTTTGATCTTCTGTAGTAAGCTCTTTAAGTCCTTCATGTTTTTAGCAAACAAGGTTGTATCATCTGCATAACGAATGTCATTGATGAATCTTTCTCTAATCCTGCTGACACAGTCTTCTTCATAGAGCCCAGTTTCTCAAATAATTTACTCAACATACAAATTAAATAGGTATGGTGAAAGGATACAGCCCTGACACAGAACATTCCTTGTTTTAAACCATATAGTGTTCCCTTTTTGTATTCATACAACAGCCTCTACTTCAAGATGTAAGTGTCATATGAGCACAATTACGTGTTCTGGTGTTCTCTTTCTTATCAGTGTTAGCCATAATTTTTTGTAATCCACACAGTCAAATGCCTTTGCCTAGTCAATTATGAACAAAAAGGCATTCTTCAGATACTCTTTGCTGTCAACCAGTGTCTATCTAAATTCAGCAGTGATATCCCTGGTGCTACAGCCTCTTCTAAATCCAGTTTATTAAGAGACAAGAGAGTAGCAGAATGTATTAAAACAAACAAAAAAAAGCAAAACAAAACAAAAACCCCAAAAAACTCACAAAGCCTATCAATATGTTGCCTATAAGAGACACATCTAAGAAATGAGGAAAAAGATAGACTAAAATTCAAAGCCTGGGGAAAAATATACCAGGCAAATGGGGGGCATGCACGTGCACACACACACCGACACACACACAAAAGCAAGAATGGCAATGCTGAGCTCTGACTAAGTAGAAATAGATTAATA